TAACTCGTTTGTGGGATCGTTTTGTGCAATGTATTTCAACAAATGACCATCCAAGACCAGGAAGACCGTGAGTCACCACACAGCCCAAGATCGCTACATCCGGGTTACCCACCTACGTGCCATCATTCCGCTTGGTACACAGCTCAAGAGCGGTTTGGAGCCCGGAGAATGTCCGACCAGACAATCAGGAACCGTCTCCGAGAGGTAGGTATGTGTGCCAGACGTCCACAAGTTGCCCCCTCTCTGACATGATTACATCAACGTCCGTGAGTCAGGTGGTGTAACGCGGTGCAGCCATGGAGCCTTGGAAACTGGAGGCACATATGGTTCAATGATGAATCGTGGTATCCCCTCAAGCGACGTGACGGAAGACAACGTGTCTACAGACCATGCAATGAACGTTTTGCATCCAACTGCATCAGGCAAGTGGACAGATTTGGTGGAGATGGTGTGATGATGTGGAGAGCCATCTCATACACCTGCAGATCGGAATTGGTACTCGTCCAAGGCAATCTTACGGCCGCGAGATATACCGACCAGATTCTCTGTCCTCACGTGCATCGTCTTGTCGACCGCCAAACGGAGCTGTACCACCAGGACAACGTCAGACCTCACACAGCACGTGCTACAGTGGACTACCTGGACAAAAACAACATCAGTGTCCTCCCCTGGCCCTCCGGATCCCCAGATCTGAAACCAATTGATTACATGTGGGATCAGATAAATAAACGTGTACGTCAATGTCGTAATCCGCCACTGAGGCTTCAACAGTTACTGTTGTTCAACATGCTGCAGGAGGAATGGATGACTCCACAACGAAACATCCGTCAACATGGACAGCAGTAATGGCTATGATGACTATCTTTCTTGTGAAATGTGCATGAGATACCAATGTATTGCTCTACATAATTTCAATGCTGTACCGTTTATTTTCGTTGATTTACATAATTGAATAAGACCAAATTTGTCAATGGTATTTTGCTTTTGCGTTTCTTTGTTTTGAAGAGTGTAGTTTTTTAACATCTAATTGATTTGTCCTGGGGTCATACCCAAGAGATACAGAAAGTTTCATTAAAATCCATCTAGTAGTATTTGAGTAAAGATGCTAACACATAAATACACACATACACACAAAGAGGGTTGAATGCATACCCCCTGCAACACACCTTCAGTTTTGGCAGAAGCACTTATGATCATAGTGATTATTATGCATACATATATCATTGAGATCCATAATATATAGTGGTAGTTGTAAAACACACATCACAAGGTACATTTTGATATACTAAATGCCTCTTTTGTGATAGGTTTATAAAAATATTATGTTTTTCTCACATTGGTGTTGCAGCTTGATTATGGGTAGTGATGTTCAGTTACTCCAGAATGACACTTGTAATCATCAGAAAAAATGGAACCATGGTTTTTCTGAATCCATATGCAATACTGATCACAATTATCAGCGGTTACAAAAAATAACATGCACTTCCCAGGGGAAACATTTTTGCTATATAAGCCCCTGCACTATTCCCATTTCATCTGGCATCGTCCAGGCCAACGACAACATGACCGCATCAACTGTATTTCAAACACTTTCAAACACTTACCTAATCAGTTCAAACATTGTAAGTTGTTATCCATATCCATGGATCTTCCAAACCGGAACATAGCTGTTGGTATTCTAATTTCCGATCATTTTTGTCTTTTTTGTCCATAAGGTAAAGTGCCCATTCGTGTACTAAAGCAATTGCTGGTCCACCAAAGGAAGAAAGCAAAATGTTTAACACAACAAATGCTTCCTGTACGCATTTTGAAAATCTATATCTCTTTCAGACAAGTTATATAAGCTGCGCAACAACGTTGAGCTTTAAAAACATATTGAGCAGGTTTCCAAATAATAAAGACAAAATAAAACCACACGTCCAACTAACCGAGTGGTGACTATATTCCGCTCACTGATGCCCAACGAATACCAACGTTGTAGTAGGTGCTGGGAACTCACCAATTTCTGCCTGCCTCTGTTGTCTGCTTCTTAAGATGGACTGGCTGGCTCCAAATTTTCTCAGGTTAGAATCTAAAGACCCTGTATAGATTTACCAATAAACCTTAGAATCCTAAACACCGTTAGATCAGTGCGTGCTGCGGGAGAACAACCCAAAGCACGTCATGCAGGTCTCTCACGTTTGATGAAACCACCTATGAAAGTAGGTATTCCAGCCCGCATTTGCCGGATTTGCAGATTTGCCCAAGGAAGCAACTCTACACAGCGAATCCTTAGCACTGAAAAAAATAATAGGCATCTTGTTTAAATCGCACCGCTACAACGGGGACAGTGATAAGAGATTCGGTATTGACGACAATGATCTCGGGAAAGTGAAATACGTTGACATATAACGTATCAAACAGCAAAAACGAGTAACATTTTCTGAAATCTACTGTGATATTGACTGTTCTTGGTGTTCCAGTATTATGTTTTGTAGATTTTTTTGTCAAAGGTATTCTGGTCGCATAGCGAAACAATTGAAAAGCAGGAAATACCAAATACAGTTTTTAAATTATCTCACAGGAGAATTTTATGTGTCTACGTTTAGAAACACGAGTGCATTGTAATTTACAAAACACAACTTGTCATCAGACAGCAGCAGGTGTGATCATGTGTCACCACTCGATCCTTTCCGTACAGGAAGATGTCAGGAGTTCGTCCCAAGTGCAGCTGTGGTATCTGTGATTAGTCGAAGCTCTCGTACAATATCGCAAACACATTGATTCGTTCTGAACTTACAACGGCGATTTTATGCCTGAACATCTGCTATCACAGTGTTTGTATACATGTCTTATCTTGGCTTATAATTGGACAGCGTTTTCCGTTGTTTTTCGGGCATGATACCAAACGACAGGGTGCATGGTAGGCACAATGATATTTCTTGATGAAACTATATATTTACTGGCAGATTCTTAAACGAAGGCTACCGAGCTTCTCGTCCTTCATTTTCAGACTAGATCAATGTTTATTTTCAGGAGGGACCAAGATGCTTTCTTAAGTGTTGAGGTACACGGACAGGTATTACAAAGGAAGTATCTATAGTACTACCTTTTTCACATATATTTTTATATGACAAGCTGCTCAGCTTACCCTACGACTGCTGCCAACACCCATCGATCTTCAGTGTTTCATTTACTTTGTCACTGCAATATGTTTGATACAAACAATCAATGTATATATATGGGAAATCTGTAGTATGATCGAACTTCGTTGTATATTCAGAACAATTATTGGCAGAGTTGGCGAGACTCAATCAATGGCACTTCGTGTTCTGCCATGCAGATGGATGTCAGGCAGGAGGGTATGCTGGCACGGAAAAGATTGTTCATGGTCCAGTGATGTCTATAGCGCTCACCACTTGAAATACAATCACGAAATATCGTGACGATTAATTAACGAAGATAGCTGTAAGTATTGTAATAATGATAACTTGAAAACAAAGTCATTCCACGGATAGAGAATATTACTTACAGTAATGATATAAATGCAACGTGCGCTTTTGCAAGACATAACCAGTCTGCTGGCAATTAGCACCATGATACAGTTTACACGATGCTTGTTCCACAGGCTTTTGCCATTTTAACATATTTAGGCCTCGAAACGTATTACGGTTATGAGACACAGGATGTGCTTAGGTTTCTGGTTAGGATCTAAACACATTTTGTACATGGTGATAATCGATAATCAAATAGGGAGTGATCGATCAAAGAGCCAATGATTCCAAGTTTGCAAGGGAACGATGACAGATAGTGATTTATCATAGCCTGGTATCTGTTGTTTCATCTCACCTGTCTCGGTGATGTATTGACGTTTACTGAACAGGTTAGACAAATAGTCGCGTCATCCCCTGATTGCCACTTCTCAACTGATGCTTCACTGTGCTACCAACATACTTCACATCTATTTGATTCACAAATAACAGGAGGTACTGCATGATCAGTAAAAAATTTGTCAGGTGGCTTTGTTTTAGAAGTAGCTGGACCTTGCAAATAGACCTTAAGTATTCTTATACCTTTCAGTTATCAGATACATACCTTTAACTCAAGTATCTACTCCCATACCCCAGATACAATGGTCCAGCAGTATCGGACATCCTTGTACTTACTTAGCCAGTATAACTACGTGTACAACCATTACCCTCCTCGGCTGTCCCTGCATTATATCTTCATTATGTGTGCTTGGGTTCGTGCGTGCAAGCGTGCGTTCTACATGGAGACCGTTTGACTGTCTGCCTATATTTCTGAGTCCTTAAAAATACCGTTTGACTTCATCAATATGCAACTGTGTTTAACTGTAAAATCTCTTTAACTCCTTCTCTTACACATCGGCGGTCAAACCATGTAACGACCTTTGCCTTGTACATTTGACGGTCCCAAATGTTCGAATCCTATATATCATACAGGTAAAGTATAGATTTGACGTACAATAGTACTTAGCGAATATTCTCTGTTATTGCCAGAGGCACTCAATAAATATTATATCTGGTATAATGTTCTGTGTCGGGTTACACTAACTACCAAATATCTTCCAGGGACATTAACTCCTTACACAGAGATAGACGCACAGATAGCAATCCATGACAGTGCTGTCAAGATTCATGTATGATGCTGTGGCCATGTTGCAACTCATTGCGATCTCATATGAAGGTATACGGGTAGGTACTGGGGTATAAACGCACTCAACACCCTTTTAGCAAGATGTTAAGTAAGCTTATCCATAAACAAGCTTCTCTTTACAACTGTCTCCCTGAGCGTTGCTAAATCTCCTTCCCTTATTCTTAAAAACGCAAAAGGCTAAGTCCCTCTCATATTTCAATTAATGCTAGTTTGGTAGAAATACCAGTTATTTCCTGGTCGCAAGTTGGAGTGTTTATTAGCTATGGCGGATAGTGGTATCGACAGGATCGATCCGCGACTATGGAAGTACGCTGTAGTAGTGCACGCCTTCCAGTCTGCCAGACGTGAACACTCGTGGCTCGATATGGGCCCAGGCCTTATTCAATACAACGCTGGCCTCGGATAGACGCGGATGTCAGACTTCTCTGTGTGAACTTGCATGAGGAATACTTCCCAAGTTGGTGTGGATTAACTTTACGTTAAAGTGTTACTAAAGGAGCCCTTGAGCTGTGTGTGTGACACGGATGTATTCGATCATGGCGTCAAGTTGTGAGGCAACGTTGTTACTTACACTGGCTCTTTTACCGGGTATGGCAGGTAAGTCTCGCACCCTGAAACATATAGCACGATTACTTGTGTCACTTGCGTAGAGAAATTGACATCATCATTCCGAGAATACAGAATTTAGATTAAAAACTGAAATGATATTAAATATCTGCTTAGGTTTTGTGATATACTTTTCCCAGTCTCAGAGCTGGCTTTATAGCAGAAAGCAGACCGCTGATGAATATTGCACGGTTGAACGATGCTTGTGGAGCATGCTATTTGATTGTAGGGTATCGAGCTTTCAGACGAACAAGACAAGTACATCGTCTGCATGACAAGCAGAGGCAGTGTGCCAAGCTAGTCTATTGACTACAAACTAGAGACAGTTATGTTTAATAAAAGGTGTGTTTTTTTCTGAAGAAAAAGTGTTGTTTTAGTTATGATTTAGTGGGAGTACAACACATAATAAAACACAAAGAAGCTATTATATGTTTAACTAATATGCTTGTCAAGAGTGCAAACAACTGCTGGACTATAACAGCGTTATACGGTTTTCGTGGTCCTTAGTGAACTTAAAGTGACTGTAAATAGTAAATAATAAAACTTGAAATATGTTTTAAGTAATTCAATGTCAGCCATTTTCTTAATGATTATCACATAAGTCGAAGTTCCCCACGCTTATCTCCAGGTAGGAATTAGGGCTTTTACATTAGCACCCAGTAACAGACATCGTCCCCCTGTTCTGTTTCTGGGCAGAAGGAAGGTCCCTAGTAACCCATATTCTCCTCCATGTTCTGTTTCTGGGCTGAAGGACGGTCCCTAGTAACCCATATTCTCCTCCATCTTCTGTTTCTAGGCTGAAGGCGGTCCCTAGAGACCCATATTCTCCTCCATCTTCTGTTTCTGGGCTGAAGGCGGTCCCTAGTAACCCATATTCTCCTCCATGTTCTGTTTCTGGGCTGAAGGCGGTCCCTAGTAACCAATATTCTCCTCCATCTTCTGTTTCTGGGCTGAAGGCGGTCCCTAGTAACCCATATTCTCCTCCATCTTCTGTTTCTGGGCTGAAGGAAGGTGCTCAGTAACCAATATTCTCCTCCATGTTCTGTTTCTGGGCTGAAGGCGGTCCCTAGTAACCCATATTCTCCCCCATGTCCTGTTTCTGGGCTGAAGGAAGGTGCTCAGTAACCAATATTCTCCTCCATCTTCTGTTTCTGGGCTGAAGGCGGTCCCTAGTAACCCATATTCTCCTCCATCTTCGGTTTCTGGGCTGAAGGCGGTCCCTAGTAACCCATATTCTCCTCCATCTTCTGTTTCTGGGCTGAAGGAAGGTGCTCAGTAACCGATATTCTCCTCCATCTTCTGTTTCTGGGCTGAAGGCGGTCCCTAGTAACCCATATTCTCCTCCATCTTCTGTTTCTGGGCTGAAGGAAGGTCCTCAGTAACCCATAGTAACCCATATTCTCCTCCATGTTTCTGGGGATGAAGGAAGGTCCTCAGGTGATGCTGGTGTTGAGCAGATGGTCAGGTGGTTATGTTGAAACTATACTTCCACACTGTTTGATTACCCTAGACCCAGTAGTATTTGGTGTATATGGGTTAAGCCCGTATTATCTCACAAGTTGTTACTGTCGGTCTAGATGTGGCTCTGGCTTCAGCCTTGAAACAGAATGAGACCTTGCACCTGGACAGATGCCTTGTGACTGGTAAAAGACAAACATGTATCCAGCCCTGCCTTCAGTATTGGTGATGCAACATCAACACGTGGATTGTATGTAACAGAATAGATCCACATACGAGGACTTGTGTACTCCGAACCTCTGACAACCCTCACAGACACATTCGCCCATAACCTGTATATTCTTGGAGACAACCAAATCATGACCATCAAGTGGCGGTAATCACTATACAGAAGAAAGTGTCAATGTTACTATAGAAACGAGAAGAGAAGTCAATCCCACTTCAATGTCTGTATCCAAAATAACCACCTGCCCTTACAGCATAGCATCAGTTGTTAATCACCACGTGTATTGTCTGCAGATAGTCGAGAACGCAATAAGCATCATGTAGATAAAGTTACAGCTGTCAGGAGCATATGTAGTCAGTGCCACCATACCGTACTTGGTTAGATTAACATTGACGCAAAATCAGGTCAGCTGAATTCGGAAACTGACCACCTTGTTACATACACTGTTAACATTTCCAGAGTTTTAAAGGTGGTGATCTATGGGAAAGTATAACAAATGTAGCTATGTACCTCTGGTGACGATATTTATATATGTACTGTACTTCTATGGTGACGATATTTATATATGTACTGTACTTCTATGGTGACGATATTTATATATGTACTGTACGTCTATGGTGACGATATTTATATATGTACTGTACGTCTATGGTGACGATATTTATATATGTACTGTACTTCTATGGTGACGATATTTATATATGTACTGTACTTCTATGGTGACGATATTTATATATGTACTGTACGTCTATGGTGACGATATTTATATATGTACTGTACTTCTATGGCAACGATATTTATATATGTACTGTACTTCTATGGGGACTATATTTATATATGTACTGTACTTCTATGGTGACGATATTTATATATGTACTGTACTTCTATGGTGACGATATTTATATATGTACTGTACGTCTATGGTGACGATATTTATATATGTACTGTACTTCTATGGTGACGATATTTATATATGTACTGTACCTCTATGGGGACGATTTTAGCATATGTGTCGGATTATAGGACTTCGGACATCACATGTTTTCAGACGGCAAAGGTTACTCGCGCTATAACGAGGTATATGTCGCGTCACAAACAACGAATGTTTCCCAAACTTGGAAAACCGTTATAGGAGGGTCTATATCTGTAGTAATCACCTGTGGTGACGATCTTAGTATGTGTGTAGCCTACATCTCTGGTGACGATCTTAGTATGTATTTAGCCTACACCTCTGGTGACGGTCTTAGTATGTGTGTAGCCTACACCTCTGGTGACGGTCTTAGTATGTGTGTAGCCTACATCTCTGGTGACGATCTTAGTATGTGTGTAGCCTACATCTCTGGTGACGATCTTAGTATGTGTGTAGCCTACACCTCTGGTGACGATCTTAGTATGTGTGTAGCCTACATCTCTGGTGAAGATCTTAGTATGTGTGTAGCCTACATCTCTGGTGACGATCTTAGTATGTATATAGCATTCATTTCTGGTGACAATCTTAGTATGTGTGTAGCCTACACCTCTGGTGACGATCTTAGTATGTGTGTAGCCTACATCTCTGGTGACGATCTTAGTATGTATATAGCATTCATTTCTGGTGAAGATCTTAGTATCTGTGTAGCCTACACCTCTGGTGACGATCTTAGTATGTGTGTAGCCTACATCTCTGGTAAAACGTGTGTTGTTATGTGTTACATTTATTGTAAAGGTCTTTGGTTTCGTTTTTACACCTATGTTATGAAAATGTAACTGTTCGTGGTAGAAACATCTCAAAATCTTTGTTCTCGTTCTTTCCCATTAGTTGAGTAGCTGAAAAATCGTTTACACTTGTCCCCTTGCGTGGTTGGCGGTGTTTATTCATCACTACTTTCACTGTGACAGTCCACATCAAACGTTTAGCTTCTACAGTTATTTGTAGTGAAGTAATACCAGGACGATTACTCTGCCAATTTCCACTCGCACGTGGCTGGCGCGTAGACAGTTAACAAGTTGGTCTCCCCTGCGGCAGTAGAAGACGATAACACCAGGAAGGCCGCTCTTCATCGATCCACGCACATCTTCCCAATTTCACACCAACCCCGCTCGCCATCACACATTTGTCATAAAAACTTGTTGAGGCAATTGGTGGCCAGTGGTCGTGCTCCCCAACCCTAGTCACTAGCTGCCTCATCTGTATGGTTGGCAGCACAGAATCAATACTCATTACACTGACGCGTTTAGACTGTCATCAACGGCATTATGTCGGATAGTTGTTTGGCGTTAAAATCCTGCCCTTCAACTTCTTTGTAGCAAATAGGTTTCTTTATGGCTGAAATGACATGCTTTTCACAAACTGTGACCAGCGCCAAGTATCTTAACACGGTTACCCATGGCTATACTAACTGTTTTGCTGTGAATAAATGATTATTTTCAACAAACTCAACGTACACATTGATTACCCTACGGTATCACACGGAGTGATGTAAGACACATTATCATCCACAACTCCTTCCTAAACTGTTACAACAAACTGCTACAGAGCGTGCGTCATATCGCTTGTGTGGAATTTCATTGGCTGAAGTGTGTCCTTTGTGCTTGTAGTTTTGATGGAATCACTCGATCATCCATGAGCTGGTTTACAAACCTATCAAAAAAGGATGCCTTATAATTAACATTGGAGACATGATGGACTTCAATAGATTCATAACGGTATCATCAGCTACACATACATGTGTAAACTGTACTGTTCAGGTCTGTATACGAGTATATATAAATACCACTACTTCTAGAGTCGTTGGTTGTCTGATCTACTGAGGAAAAATCACCGATCAAAGGAAATCAATCAGACCTTTGATGGGAATTTTCACAGCAGGAAACATGTATATTTTATTAGCCCAGTTGTTCACGTATGTACGAAAGAGGGGTAGGCTTTAAACTTTGGTATATTGTTTATGGTATAAAAGAATGATGGGAAAATGAACAGCAGTACAAGAAGTATACATGAACATGTAAGAGCTTGTGAGATATAGCGATATTTCTGATGTACAGTAATAAGGTTGGGTGAAAGGTTGCCTTCTGAGTTACCATGCCGCACTTCAACAGTGATACCTTACTCAGACACATTATACTAACTCCCTTTTTGTTGCCGAGCGTCAGATTCGTATATTGATCAATTGGTACGTACTGAGGGCAGCAATTTTGTATGGGTTTCACGTAGCCAGCACAATCTAAACTTGATTTATTTCTTTTCACATCAGAAAAGAAGACAAAAACATCTGTAACTTGGATTCTACTGCAGTTCACCTGTTTAGGAGGTGCCATGGGAAATATGTCTCAAAAACAAATTTATTCTGTTTGTTTTTTTGGAAATCGAGAAAAATAAACATATACCCAGTAAAATCATTTCTTGACAAATTTGCAGATTTTTAATCTATTACACAGACTACAAAAACAGCAGAAAACAAATAGATTGAATCTGATGTTATGTGTCACAAGGTTTGACACCACGGTCATCAATAAAGTTTCCTTACTATTTAATGTTTGAAAGTGTATTGATATAAGAACTGTAAAAGAAGAAGGAAGTTAATACCTAGCACTTAACCTTCTGGTAGAATTTCACTTACTGCCTTCATCTCTGCACTGACACAGGAAGGGGGCAGTGATCAGACCAGAACCCCCCAGGTCGGGGGTTCGAGTCGGTGCAAATGAATACAGCAGTTTTTATATTTTTGGGAGGTAGGCGACCAAATTACAGACGGAGAAACACCGAAAGAAAACATGGTTGCCGTAAGAAAGAAAAGGATGAACAAAGTATATTTATTATCAATGATTTCAAATAAATTTTCCTGTTTTTGTGATATTGTTTTGTTATCCAACTTTTTAAAACTCATGTATTTAGAGTGAATATTGTGATGAGTTGAAATTATCTTTTAACATAGAAATGACACAAAATGTAAAAAGAGAAATGCTTTCAAGAGATGCTTTATGGAAGAGAATATTATATTGGTATTACTTCTTTTTAAAAGTATTTCAAGGAATAGTTTGTCAAGTAGAATAACACTCTAATTCAAAGGTATCGCCACAAACAGCCTCAGTCGTGTTGTACAGCAAGGGCCACCGCATAACATAACAAACTGAAAAAACAACCTATTACAAAGATTGCCAAAATGTTGGCCATAGAGCCAAAATCAGCAACAGCAGATGGGGGAGATATAGTACATACAGACTGTTAGATCTTGGTAATACTTTTGAGAACAAGACAAATAAATGTGCAATGCCATGTTATTGCTTAATGTTGAAATAATAAAGAAATCAGAATTATACAATTTGGGTAGCCCATTTTAGGATGTTGTAATTTACGTGTAGATGATAGTCACATGTTTGGTTTCTGACTGATGTGGGCGATGGTGATTTGTGTATGATCATGTTTAAATGAAAACATCTTCCACGCCCAGTTTCAAGAATGGTGGGCAGTAATAGATGAGTCAGTTATGTTTGAGGAATCTATAGTGTAGATAATTACTTGAACCTCACATAGACGTTTTACTCCCTGGTACGCAGAGCCATTGCTGATGTGCTACAAGCGACTTCATGATCCGTTGAGAGGCGAACGGTCATGTGTGCATACAGGAGTACTGACAAGGAGTACTGGCAATATCTGGACTCTGTGTTCGTATACGCTAAGATGGGAAAGAGCTAACTCTATCTGTTTCAACTGTCAAAATTGACAAAATGTGTCTTTAATTATCTCAGTGATTGATGTCTACATATAATGAGGGTATTCTTCTGAGACTAGCTATTTCCCTACAACAGGTATTTACATCAAGACAGACTTGACTTTTCCATAGCCCTCTGCAAAATACACAGGAGTGGCATAATTGTAAGTCAGAGAGATTCATAAGGCCATTTTATGAAATGCTGTTTGTCTGTATGACACATCCACACATAGACATTCAAGTTAAACAAACACTGAATATGCTGTACTTTGTACGGTTCCAGTTGGAATCGATTTGCGGATGTGAGGGTATTAGAGGAGGAAGGATCTCCGATCTTCAACTACGTTGGAGATGACTGATGTTGATAAGGTTGTAGTACCTATATAGTAATGTTGTCTACCATGTCCAGCCAGGTTGGGGGCTGATTCCCTCACAGTTTGGTTCTCATACTCTTCGTATGACCCTACACTGCCACTTCAAGCAAGTCATGTCACCTATACTTCTTGTCAAACAGTCTATAGCTTCAGTGATGAAGTTTCGACAAATGTCAAACACTAGTTGTGATATTTCAAAGTAGCACTTTTTTGGACACTACTCCCACGTGATGCTGAATCACAGGAACGGCTTTGACAGACCTTCTGGTTGCGACATAAAATCGAATGACTTTAGTCATTTCAAAGCAAAACGTTTGTTTCGTCGATTCAAAGTAATTATAACTAACAAAACTAGAATGCAAGGCGATTTCAAGTTGATTTTTGCTTTGACTCCTCAAATAATTCAGCAGTCTCTATATTTAGTTCACATTGGTTCCTGATATGCATATCGGAATTTATGCGGCGCTGTATCAACAGTTTGTATATTAAAAAGCATTCTTGTGGACAGTATGTTATCAAACATGGTATAATGTTGTTTAATACCTATTGGATGTCAGTTTTCATACTAACTAGTTGCCATTTCGTATAACGTATATGTGCCTCGTGAACTAGTTTTTCTGTGTTATGTAAAAGGTATCGCACTCAGTACATAAACCAAATGGTCAGGGGTCAGCTTTCGTTTTCATTACAACACTTTTAAGCCTTCTAATACTTTTTCTTGACATTTCACATGAACAAAGTTATGTACAGTGAAAAGTAGTCACAAACTTGATATTTCAAATGTTCTTACAAGTGTCCAGAATGTTGCATTATGTGTTTTCCTGTGTTTTCCTCCCCCAATCTTAGCAAATGTCTGGAAATACAGAAAGTATGAGGGGGGTCTGATATGTTCCCATCATATGTTCGATGATTGAGGCATTTTTACCCACGTTTTGTTGAAGTCTTTCTTTTGCAGTTCCCCGCAACTGCTTTGAGTATGATTCGAGTCGAAATGGGATTCGCACTTGAGCGTGTTTCATGTTGGGTAACAGATGGAAATCTGACGGAACCTGATCAGAAGAATATAATTGGTGCTGAATAGGTTTCAAAACAACACTCGCTGATTATGGCCATGACAATGGGAGATGTGTTTTGTCATTACAGTAATCTTTTCTCATCTTCAATAGTTTCTTAGTCATAAGTTCGTCATGAGTCCACTGTGATGAGGCACGGATGCCTTTCTCTTTCCATCTGATTGAACACTCTCGGCCTTCTTTTGTGTCCGTAATGTCAAATGTGTCCACGATTTGCCTGTCGTTTAAACTCAGTTGATACGCCCACCTTCATCCATAGTCTCAATTCGCTGCAAGAACCTTTCTGTGTCAGCTTCAAAAAGAACTAGGTTATCAACAGACATCGCGCCAGGTGGGTTTCTGATCAGATGTCAGAAAGTTGGAAACCAAACGAGCTTAAACTTTCAACATTGCCGAAGATTCTGTTGAAATCTACTCTGGGGAATGTCAATTGATTTAGAAAGCTGGACACAAGTTGGTCGACAGTCGGTCGTCACCATATCGTAGATTTATAAGATCATTTCTGGTATTGCTGACGCCACAAGCCTCCCAGACCTGGATTAATCTTATAGGCTCTACCTGCTCAATGCTTAACTTTGCAACTTACCTCTTTGCTTGGAGTCGCATCCTCATGGATGTTTTATGGTGTTAACCTGATTACTGAATGTTCCTCACGCTGCCCATGTGCAAAGGTCACAGACCCCTGTTTATTTTACTGACCTGTAATTTGTTCAATTGACTCACAGATTTGTGGATATGATTCTATAACACCATGTTCAAAAACGGTTTCATTATGTGTGAGACTCAGATCTTATCAATCATCACTCCCAAGTCTACTTTGGCAATGAAAAACTTCTGGTGTTGAAGACATATAAACTGCTACATACAAAGTATTTTCCGGCATATATTTATTGTCGTATGTGTCACCATACTGCTAACTTCTTCCGGCGTGTTTATATTGCCGTGTATATCACCACACTAATCATTTTCCCGGTGTGTTTTTATTGCCGTGTATATTACCACACTAATGATTTTTCCGGCGTGTGTATATTGCCGTGTATATCACGACAATAATCATTTTCCCGGCGTGTTTATATTGCCGTGTATATCACCACACTAATCATTTTCCCAGCGTGTTTTTATTGCCGTGTATATCACCACACTAATCATTTTCCCGGCGTGTTTTATTGCCGTGTATATCACCACACTAATCATTTTCCCGGCGTGTTTTTATTGCCGTGTATATCACCACACTAATCATTTTCCCGGCGTGTTTTTATTGCCGTGTATATCACCACACTAATCATTTTTCCCGGCGTGTTTTATTGCCGTGTATATCACAGCACTAATCATTTTTCCGGTCCACAGCGTGTTTATATTGCCGTGTATATCACCACACTAATCATTTTCCCGGCGTGGTTTTATTGCCGTTTATATCAACACACTAATCATTTTCCCGGCGTGTTTTTATTGCCGTGTATATCACCACACTAATCATTTTTCCGGCGTGTTTATATTGCCGTGTATATCACCACAATAATCATTTTCCCGGCGTGTTTTTATAGCCGTGTATATCACCACACTAATCATTTTCCCGGCGTGTTTATATTGCCGTGTATATCACGACACTAATCATGTTTCCGGCGTGTTTTTATAGCCGTGTATATCACCACACTTATCATTTTCCCGGCGTGTTTATATTGCCGTGTACATCACCACACTAATCATGTTTCCGGCGTGTTTTTATAGCCGTGTATATCACCACACTAATCATTTTCCCGGCGTGTTTTTATTGCCGTGGATATCATCACGCTAATATTTTTTCCGGCGTATGACACTAATACTTTTGTTCTAGTTGAGGTGAAGACATTCCTTGGTTTATTCGTCCGTATGCCCCTACTCAAGTTGTCGGATCAACCGTCCCGTGTGTACACCAACTGCACCGTAGAGGCATGTGCCCGCTACTGCACACAAGAAACTCGCTTTGACTGCCAGTCGTTTGACGTGGATAACTCACTGATGAGGTGCATGCTGCATAACGTCAGTCACGAGAAAGGCGTGTTGCAGGTAGCACACGTCACAGATCACTACAGAAGTAAGTACGTCGTATCACAAGCAAAAAATGTTTCCTCTTAATTACTGACCAAACGCATGAGGAAGTAAATCAATGATTGCAAGCAGCTGGCGTATGCTATGTGTATTGTATTTGTATGGATAGGGTCACCCGTGGCAATGATTACCATCAGAGTAGAATAATAGAGTAGGTGCAGCAAGAAGGAGAGTGGATTGGACATACACTTTGCATAGTGTAGGTGAGGTGTTCACTTCATGTAGAGTGGGCGAGGGCTTGGCGTCATGTAGTGTGGTGAGGTGTTCACTTCATGTAGTGTGGTGAGGTGTTCACTTCATGTAGTGTGGGTGAGGTGTTCACTTCATATAGTGTGGGTGAGGGATTAAAGTCATGTAGTGTGGGTGAGGGATTCACGTCATGTAGTGTGGGTGAGGGATTCAGGTCATGTAGTGTGGGTGAGGGATTCACGTCATGTAGTGTGGGTGAGGGATTCACGTCATGTAGTGTAGGTGAGGGATTCACGTCATGTAGTGTAGGTGAGGGATTCACGTCATGTAGTGTGGGTGAGGCATGCACGTCATGTAGTGTAGGTAAGGGATTCACGTCATGTAGTGTGGGTGAGGGATTCACCTCATGTAGTGTGGGTGAGGGATTCACGTAATGTAGTGTGGGTGAGGGATTCACGTCATGTAGTGTGGGTGAGGGATTCAGGTCATGTAGTGTAGGTGAGGGATTCAGGTCATGTAGTGTAGGTAAGGGATTCATGTCATGTAGTGTTGGTGAGGGATTCAGGTCAAGTTGTCTTGGCGAGATATTCACTGAAAGTTTTCTGTAATATTTTCTTTTCTCAGGTGCCTTTGAAAAACTCTTTAATCGCCTACCAAACCACGTAGTTACATTACGTCATAATCGTAAAGTATCGCGCGTCAGCGTGGAGGAGTGTTCACGAAGGTGTGTTTTTGAAGTTGGATTTAAGTGTGAAGGTTTTGACTATGAGCCTGAGCTCAGGAGTTGTTGGCTGACAGAAGACACCCCGGAGACGGCAGGCGGAGTGAGGAGTCACAAGGGAGCAGACTATTACAGGAGATCCCCGGGTAAGGAACATTGCCCCATTTGAACCACAAAGAAAAGAACCGAAAACCAATACAACCTCATTTATGAAGTATAGACCAAAGACAACCTCACAAAACAACCCCTAAACTTAGAAAATGTCCTTCTAACACGACCTCTCCAGAATGTGGTAGACATTATATATTTAGCACTGGTGTAGTCTCTTATAAAGGAATACTTCTTCCGCCACAAGGGCATATTGATATGTTTTACGAATGCAATAAGCAGTCGAATCAGTTGACTACATCTAAGCATTTCATTTCCACAGAAGGCCCACTGAGCAAGTTTGTGTGTTACGGAAGTGGATCGTTGCCATCGCTGGAAGGACATCAAATATATAATCGGGTTATGCTTGGAGTGACTCTGGATGCCTGTGCACAGCTGTGTACATCTGAGCAAACGTTTGAGTGTTGTAGTTTTGACTACTACTTCGTGGAGAAGGCTTGTCACATGAGCCAATATATTGCTGCCAATGTGAACGGTTTGACCCGGGATCACATAGATCACAACGCCGTCATGCACTACGAGAAGAAAGGTAAATGGGCAACGGGTTTCTTACCTTGTTATTAGGGTGTGCGATAGAGTAGTTAACAAATAAGTGTCTACTTTAAACTACACTGTACAATCAGCAAAGAAAAGGACTGAACCACATGCACCTTCCTACTGATGATTATTCATATCATTATTTATTTGTTTTCTACTGACAGTTCTGATTCACAGAGGTATGTTTTAGACCTTATCCAGGTTGTCCCAAATTCATCGCCAAATCAGGATAAGAACATAACTTGAAACCATATGACCTGGGTTTCCACGATCGATGTAAAGTGAGTTTGTCATCTGTGAGTCGACCAGGCTTCACAGCGTGTCACTGTTTGCTGACGAGACGATTGCTATAGACTGCTCACAAAGAACGCGCTGCTTTCTGGCCAATTACTTAAGTGCTTCAGGAGCTGACTGTTGCTCATTTGATGAAAGGTCGAGCATTTCATGGCTGATTCCGTGCTAAATCCAAGGGAAAGCCAACAGATGGTGCTGGCGCCCATCACATCCATTACATTTTATGCTAGAGGCGATGGATCAATCTGAAACTTCCAGCACGGATTTAGCCTTGAGTGTCTGTATTCTCTAATACTGACTGATACCAATGAAAAGCAGGTTTTTGTGCTTCAGCACAAATGTTTGCATGACCAACAGACATGTTTGTCTAACATCACATACTTGGGTTTGTTTCAGTCATAAGTTCAGATATGCTTTAGCACAAACAGAGGAATTACTGACATGTAATGACGTATCATTCATTGTAGTGTATACTGCTTTTCTGTACAAGTTGTTTGGAGGAATTTTAACTGACACATCTGATGTTGGGAGTTTCAAAGGATCATCTGATCTGATAAAGTATGATCTGATTCTACCTGCACATGTGAATGATCTGATTCTACCTGCACACGTGTAGGGTCTGATTCAAAATGCACACGTGAAGGGTCTGATTCTACATGTACACGTGAAGGACCTGATTCTACCTGTACACGTGAAGGATCTGATTCTACCTGTACATGAGAAGGATCTGATTCTACCTGCACACGTGAATGGATCTGATTCTACCTGCACACGTGAAGGGTATGGTTCTAAATGCACACATGAAGAATTGGATTCTACCTGCACACATGTAGGGTCTGATTCTACCTGCACACATGAAGGGTATGGTTCTAAATGCACACATGAAGAATTGGATTCTACCTGCACACGTGAAGGGTCTGATTCTACGTGTACATATGAAGGCACTGATTCTACCTATATATACGAAGGGCCTGGTTCTAACTGTACATATGAAGGCACTGATTCTACCTATATATACGAAGAGCCTGGTTCTAACTGTACATATGAAGGCACTGATTCTACCTATATATACGAAGGGCCTGGTTCTAACTGTCCATATGAAGGCACTGATGCTACCTATATATAGGAAGGGCCTGGTTCTAACTGTACATATTAAGGCACTGATGCTACCTATATATACGAAGAGCCTGGTTCTAACTGTACATATTAAGGCACTGATTCTACCTATATATACGAAGGGCCTGGTTCTAACTGTCCATATGAAGGCACTGATTCTACCTATATATAGGAAGGGGCCTGGTTCTAACTGTACATATGAAGGCACTGATGCTACCTATATATAGGAAGGGCCTGGTTCTAACTGTCCATATGAAGTCACTGATTCTATCTATATATAGGAAGGGCCTGGTTCTAACTGTACATATGAAGGCACTGATTCTATCTATATATAGGAAGTGCCTGGTTCTAACTGTACATATGAAGACACTGATTCTACCTATATATAGGAAGGGCCTGGTTCTAACTGTCGATATGAAGGCACTGATGCTATCTATATATAGGAAGGGCCTGGTTCTAACTGTACATATGAAGGCACCTGGTTCTAACTTCAAAGGCACTGATTCTATCTATATATAGGAAGGGCCTGGTTCTAACTGTATGAAGGCACTGATTCTATCTATATATAGGAAGTGCCTGGCAACTGATACATATGAAGACACTGATTCTACCTATATATAGGAAGGGCCTGGTTCTAACTGTCGATATGAAGGCATGAAGGCACTGATGTACATATGAAGGCACTGATTCAACCTATATATAGGAAGGGCCTGGTTCTAACTGTCCATATGAAGGCACTGATTCTATCTATATAAGGGCTAACTGGAAGGGCCTGCTACCTATATATAGGTGGTTCTAACTGTCCAACTGGTTCTATCTATATATGAAGGGCACTTCTAACTGATTTTACCTATATATAGAGGAAGGGGCCTGGTTCTAACTGTCCATATGAAGGCACTGATTCTATCTATATATACGAAGTGGCTGGTTCTAACTGTACATATTAAGGCACTGATTCTACCTATATATAGGAAGAGCCTGGTTCTAACTGTCGATATGAAGGCACTGATGCTATCTATATATAGGAAGGGCCTGGTTCTAACTGTACATATGAAGACACTGATTCTATCTATATATAGGAAGGGCCTGGTTCTAACTGTACATATGAAGGCACTGATTCTATCTATATATAGGAAAGGCCTGGTTCTAACTGTCGATATGAAGGCACTGATGCTATCTATATATACGAATGGCCTGGTTCTAACTGTCGATATGAAGGCACTGATTCTATCTATATATACGAAGGGCCTGGTTCTAACTGTCCATATGAAGGCACTGATTCTATCTATATATACGAGGGCCTGGTTCTAACTGTACATATGAAGACACTGATTCTATCTATATATACGAAGGGCCTGGTTCTAACTGTACATATGAAGGCACTGATTCTATCTATATATAGGAAGGGCCTGGTTCTAACTGTACATATGAAGGCACTGATTCTACCTATATATACGAAGGGCCTGGTCCTTCCTGCGCCTGTGAAGGGTTTTATTCTAACTGTACACGTGAAAGGTTTTATTCTCCCTCACAAATGTATGATATCAATCTACCTGAATACACTTTTCTGAAGGGTAGACAAAGTCTATGGTCTAGACTACCAGTATTCCTTCTTCCATTTTGTGGGAGCCGCGGTGGCTGAGTGAGTAGTCGGCTGACTTTGTGTGCTGGCGATTAGGTGCCTATCTCTGATGGTGGGGGTTCAAATCCCGGATGGGACTGAACCCAATAAAATTACTAGAATTTGAACTTTACTGATAAATCCCAGGTATAACATGTGTAACAATGATCAACTTCTACAAATTTATGACATGATTCTACCAGTACACACACAGGACATATTCTACATCTGTATCACAATTCGTAAACTGTAGGTGAAGTATCCCCGACAGGCAAATGTAAAGATATTCAAAGTACACAACATTATTAATCATTAACTGTAGGCCATAGTTCACCGTCGTTTCATGTCAGTCAGATTCTCGTACACTTTCTGGCTGATTAATCACCCTTATATTGTTACGGACAGGAAATGGAATAGGAAGGGAAACCCGGTTGTTTGTTGCACAGCCGTTTGCATAGTGTGAGTATATAGTGTGATCAGTAGACACACGGACCAGTCAGACATCAAACAGTGGGCATCCCTGACATTCCTACGGTGGCGCTCGTCACAGGGCTGATCGCCACTGTAATTAGACAGTGAGTAATCGCCCTCATCCCGCCCATGTCGAACTAATCAAACTATTGATCAGACGCCTCCATCCCATCCTGTCATTCATCTAATTGGGCCTGACATCATCTGTTACATCCACTCAATGTGTGCAGTTAATGCGCTGAAATTAGTTGTTCAAGTGACTAGTCAGCAGGTGACCGTCACAGAGGTAGAATCAGGTCCTCCTGGTGAAGAGACACCGAGGTCCACGATGTGTGGAGGTAGAATAGGGTCCTCCATAAGTAGATATAGATTAGAATCGCGTATTCTCTCCGAAGAATCAAGCTCTCTTAGAAAAGTAGTTTTCAACTGAAATAAAAGTGATTTCTAGCTGTGCACCAAACTGTGTCAGTGCACGTAACTGACCAAATGTGTCAGACACATAAATGATCCGAGAAAGATTTAAGATGTGTTTTACTCTTCCAAATTGTCATAAACTTGCTGAATATGTTCCAACAGCAGAGTGTGCCACTCTTGCGAAAACAGGACGTGTATTGAGAAACATGTAGGTCTCTTGAATAAGGTTACTCGTTTTCATGTTTGTGTTATTGAGATAAAGCTAAATTAATTTGCCAGGTGAATATTTAGGAATCGAGTACCATCCGCTGCATATGCCACATCTCCATGCTTCAAGTATCACGCCCTCTGGTACAATGGGATGTTTTAATGCCCAATATAACACGATCCTACACATGAGTAACTTCAACATATCGTGTAAAGTTTTTTGAAAGGTGGATCGATGTGCATATTAAAACAGCTGTGAAGTTATTGTTTGTGTAGACAATCGACAGCCATCTGTTACTTGTGAGAGCAGAGCAATAGTGAAGCTGGTGCATTGCGGAAGGGCACCAGACAGGCGATAAACGTGAACATAAGTCTTAGCCTTATTTCAAACCAATATAATTATGTACACACATGCATTTCATCTTCTCCTGCAACATGTACCCTCTAATCCTACTGCACGTGTCCATTTTCAAGAAACGTGATTCCCCTTCTCCTGCTAGAAGTGCCACTTCTCCTGATCCAATCGTCCCTTCTCACACTGATTTCCCTTCTTCTCCTACACGTGTAATTTCTCTGATACAAGAATTTCCCTTCTCCTTCTACAAGCGCCCTTTCTCCTGAAACGTTATACCTATTCCCTTACTGAAACGTGATTCACCTCCTGCTGCTGCATGTGTCATTTCTCCTAATACAATATTCCTCTCCTCTTACCACAGAGACCCATTCTCTGATACATGCCTGCCCTTCCCCTACTACAAGTGCCTTTTCTCCTGATGCATGATTCCCCTTCTCCTGCAACACGCGCCACCTTTACCTGCAACACGCGCCACCTTTACCTGCAAGATGTGCCACAGTTATGTTTTATGGGGGTCGTTTTACAGTCACAGAAAATTCACGATACATTAGTCACTGAAAATTGTCGTCATGACTATACATGTCTGTAAATGCTTAATTTTATGCAAGCGCGTTATGCAAGTGATGGGTTGAAGTAAGATTATGAAGGTTCAAACATACACATTTCGTCGGAAATATATCGGCTAATACACACCATGTATAGGTGTACAGACTGACATGACATGAACTATGGCCACAATGTTCAACAACCCCAGTCTGTCCATGGCGGTGTTGTGGGTCTGTCAGTCTACTGGCGGCCTCCGCCATATCATCAGCCCTCCGGGCAGTTCTGTCCCTAGGTCCCACCAAGGAAAACCATTCATATTATCTAGTGATTCCCAATTTCAGCAAATGATTGATTTTCGGAATTAGATTTATAAAATGTCGGAGCAAGTTGCACGAAACATTACGATGTTCACAAGTTCTCTGCAAATGGGTATTCTATTCCTGCAAAAGTTGAAACATTTTTTATATATTTTTATAGATCGTATTTATGGCTATACCATATAAAATGTTTCTAGATAAGCAGTTCTCTCATGTAAATATTCCTTGTATCAGAGTATATGTGTGTCAGATAGGACTATCAACAAGAGTATATGTGTGTCAGGTAGGACTATCAACAAGAGTATATGTGTGTCAGATAGGACTATCAACAAGAGTATATGTGTGTCAGGTAGGATTATCAAAAAGAGTATATGTGTGTCAGATAGGACTATCAACAAGAGTATATGTGCGTCAGATAGGACTATCAACAAGAGTATCTGTGTGTCAGGTAGGACTATCAACAAGAGTATATGTGTGTCAGGTAGGACTATCAACAAGAGTATATGTGTGTCAGGTAGGACTACCACAAGAGTATCTGTGTGTCAGGTAGGACTATCAACAAGAGTTTATGTGTATCAGGTAGGACTACAACAAGAGTATATGTGTGTCAGGTAGGACTATCAACAAGAGTATATGTGTGTCAGATAGGACTATCAACAAGAGTATATGTGTGTCAGGTAGCACTATCAACAAGAGTATATGTGTGTCAGATAGGACTATCAACAAGAGTATATGTGTGTCAGGTAGCACTATCAACAAGAGTATATGTGTGTCAGATAGGACTATCAACAAGAGTATCTGTGTGTCAGGTAGTACTATCAATAAGAGTGTATGTGTGTCAGGTAGGAACACCACAAGGGTATATGTGTGTCAGGTAGGACTACCACAAGAGTATATGTGTGTCAGGTAGGACTATCAACAAGAGTATATGTGTGTCAGATAGCACTATCAACAAGAGTATTTCTGTGTCAGATAGCATTATCAACAAGGGTATATGTGTGTCAGATAGGACTATCAACAAGAGTATATGTGTGTCAGATAGGACTAACACAAGAGGATATGTGTGTCAGATAGGACTACCACAAAAGTATATGTATGTCAGATAGGACTACCACGAGAGTATATGTGTGTCAGATAGGACTAGCACAAGAGTATATGTGTGTCAGATAGGACTAACACAAGAGTATATGTGTGTCAGATAGGATTACCACAAGAGTATATGTGTGTCAGATAGGACTATCAACAAGAGTATATGTGTGTCAGGTAGTACTATCAATAAGAGTGTATGTGTGTCAGGTAGGAATATCACAAGGGTATATGTGTGTCAGGTAGGACTACCACAAGAGTATATGTGTGTCAGGTAGGACTATCAACAAGAGTATATGTGTGTCAGATAGCACTATCAACAAGAGTATTTCTGTGTCAGATAGCATTATCAACAAGGGTATATGTGTGTCAGATAGGACTATCAACAAGAGTATATGTGTGTCAGATAGGACTAACACAAGAGGATATGTGTGTCAGATAGGACTACCACAAAAGTATATGTATGTCAGATAGGACTACCACAAGAGTATATGTGTGTCAGATAGGACTAGCACAAGAGTATATGTGTGTCAGATAGGACTAACACAAGAGTATATGTGTGTCAGATAGGATTACCACAAGAGTATAGGTGTGTCAGATAGGACTATCAACAAGAGCATATGTGTGTCAGGTAGGACTACCAACAAGAGTATATGTGTGTCAGGTAGGACTACCAACAAGAGTATATGTGTGTCAGGTAGGACTACTAGCAAGAGTATATGTGTGTCAGGTAGGACTACCAACAAATGTATATGTGTGTCAGGTAGGACAACCAACAAGAGTATATGTGTGTCAGGTAGGAATACCACAAGAGTATATGTGTGTCAGGTAGGACTATCAACAAGAGTATATGTGTGTCGGGTAGGACTATCAACAAGAGTATATGTGTGTCAGGTAGGACTACCACAAGAGTAAATGTGAGTCAGATAGGACTACCACAAGAGTATATGTGTGTCAGGTAGGACTAACACAAGAGTATATGTGTGTCAGATAGGACTACCACAAGAGTATATGTGTGTCAGGTAGGACTACCAACAAGAGTATATGTGTGTGAGATAGGACTACCACCAAAGTGTATGTGTGTCAGGTAGGACTACCAACAAGAGTATATGTGTGTCAGATAGGACTACCAACAAGAGTATATGTGTGTCAGGTAGGACTACCAGCAAGAGTACATGTGTGTCAGGTAGGACTACAAACAAATGTATATGTGTGTCAGATAGGACTACCAACAAGAGTATATATGTGTCAGGTAGGACTACCACAAGAGTATATGTGTGTCAGGTAGGACTACCAACAAATGTGTATGTGTGTCAGGTAGGACTACCAAGAAGAGTATATGTGTGTCAGGTAGGAATACCACAAGAATATATGTGTGTCAGGTAGGACTATCAACAAGAGTATATGTGTGTCAGGTAGGACTATCAACAAGAGTATATGTGTGTCAGGTAGGACTACTACAAGAGTAAATGTGAGTCAGATAGGACTAACACAAGAGTATATGTGTGTCAGGTAGGACTAACACAAGAGTATATGTGTGTCAGATAGGACTACCACAAGAGTATATGTGTGTCAGGTAGGACTACCAACAAAAGTATATGTGTGTGAGATAGGACTACCACAAGAGTATATGTGTGTCAGGTAGGACTACCAACAAGAGTATATGTGTGTCAGGTAGGATTATCAACAAAAGTATATGTGTGTCAGATAGGACTACCAACAATAGTATATGTGTGTCAGGTAGGACTATCAACAAGAGTATATGTGTGTCAGGTAGGACTATCAACAAGAGTATATGTGTGTGAGATATGACTGACTGACTGACTGACTGAGTTTGGTTTTACGCCGCTTTTGGCAATATTCCAGCAACATCACGGCGGGGGACACCAGAAATGGGCTTCACACATTGTACCCATGTGGGTGAGATATGACTACCAACAAGAGTATATGTGTGTCAGGTAGGACTATCAACAAGAGTATATGTGTGTCAGGTAGGACTATCAACAAGAGTATATGTGTGTCAGGTAGGACTATCAACAAGAGTATATGTGTGTCAGGTAGGACTACCACAAGAGTATCTGTGTGTCAGGTAGGACTACCACAACAGTATCTGTGTGTCAGGTAGTACTACCACAAGGGTATATTTGTGTCATGTAGTACTACCAACAAGTGTAAATGTGTGTTAGGTAGTACTACCAACAAAAGTAAATTGGTGTCAGATAGGACCACCAACAGATGTGCATGTGTGTCAGGTTGGATTACCAGGAAAGGTAGATGTGTGACAGATGTACATGTGTATCTTTGCAGCCCCCTACCTCGATTACTTCTACCCTACTCCATATGCTGTTGTCTTGGGCAATAACGAGCGGACCTTCGAGCGAGTGACGCCCAACAGATGTGCACGCAGCTGTCTCGAAGAGACCAAGTTTGTCTGTCGTTCCTTCGATTATCAGGTAGGACAACTTATAAGATAATTATAATGTCACTTATAAAGCGCAAATGTCCACACACGTATGAATGCTCAGTGCGCCGAAATGAATAGAGTAAAGGAGTTACTCACAGACACAGTGGAACAGGTGGGTTTTAACTTTTGACTTGAAGGTTGAGAGACATTCACAGAGTTTGAGGAGGTAAATAGTTCCAAAGAGGTGGTGCAGCATATGAAAAAGATCGTTTCCCTTAGCGGGATTTCACCGGCTGCGTTTGACAGTTAAACATTACATGGACAGCTCCAATAAACGTATTAGAATAATCTTAATTTGTATTATATGGTCTCTGATGAGAGATACAAAGGTGAAGCTGGGTTGTGAGAAAAATATATGTGAGGCCGCGGGTGAGAGATACAAAGGTGAGGCTGGGTAGTGAGAGATACATAGGTGAGGCTGGGTAGTGAGAGATACAAAGGCGAGGCTGATATATGAGCGATACAAAGGCGATGTTGGGTAGTGAGAGATACATAGGCGAGGTTGGTGTATGGGAGATACAGAGGCAAGGCTTGGGTGTATGAGAGATACAAAGGTGAAGGCTGGGGTGTGAGAGATACAAATATGTGACGCCGCTGAGATACAGATGAAAAAGTGTGAGGCAGGTGACGGTGAGAGATACAAAGGTGAGGCTGGGTGAGATGGGAGAATACAAAGGTGAAGCTGGTGTATGGGAGAAACAAAGGTGAGGCTGGTGTATGAGAGTTTACAAAGGTGAGGCTGGGTAGAGAGAGGCACAATGGATACAAAGGTGAGGCTGGTGTATGGGAGATACAAAGGTGAGGCTGGATGAGTGTGAAGAGATACAAAGGTGAGGGCTGGTGTATGGGAGATACAAGAGGTGAGGCTGTGTGAGTGAGAGATACATAGGTGAGGCTGGGTGAGTGAGAGAGATACAAAGGTGAGGCTGGGTAGTGAGAGATACAAAGGTGAGGATGGGTGAGTGAGAGATACAAAGGTGAGGGCTGGGTAGTGAGAGATGATACAAAGGTGAGGGCTGGGTGAGTGAGAGAGATACAAATGTGACGCTGGTAGTGAGTGAGAGATACAAAAGGTAAGGCTGGGTAGTGAGAGATACAGAGGTAAGGCTGGGGTGTTTAAGAGATACAAAGGTGAGGCTGGGTAGTGTGATATACACAGGTGAGGCTGGTGTATGAGAGATACAAAGGTGAGGCTGGTGTATGAGAGATACAGAGGTGAGGCTGGTGTATGAGAGATACAAATGTGAGGCTGGGTAGTGAGATATACAAAGGTGAGGCTGGTGTATGAGAGATACAAAGGTGAGGCTGGTGTATGAGAGATACAAAGTCGAGGCTGGTGTATGAGAGATACAAAGGTGAAGCTGGGTAGTGAGAGATACATAGGCGAGGGTGGGTAGTGAGAGATACAAATGTGACGCTGGTGTATGAGAGATACAAAGGTAAGGCTGGGTACTGAGTGATACAAATGTGACGCTGGTGTAAGAGATACAAAGGTGAGGCTGGTGTATGAGAGATACAAAAGGTGAGGCTGGTGTATGAGAGATACAGAGGTGAGGCTGGGTGAGTGAGAGATACAAAGGTGAGGGCTGGTGTATGAGAGAGATACACAAGGTGAGGCTGATGTATGAGAGATACAAAGGTGAGGCTGGGGTGTATGAGAGATACATAGGCGAGGCTGGCTAGTGAGAGATACGAAGGTGAGGCTGGTGTATGAGAGATACAAAGGTGAGGCTGGTGTATGAGAGATACAAAGGTGAGCCTGGGTAGTGAGAGATACAAATGTGAAGCTGGTGTATGAGAGATACAAAGGTGAGCCTTGGTAGTGAGAGATACAAAGGTGAGGCTGGGTAGTGAGAGATACATAGGTGAGGCTGGTGTATGAGAGATACAAAGGTGAGCCTGGGTAGTGAGAGATACAAATGTGACGCTGGTGTATGAGAGATACAGAGGTGAGGCTGGGTAGTGAGAGATTGAAAGGTGGGGCTGGGTAGTGAGAGATACATAGGTGAGGCTGGTGTATGAGAGATACATAGGTGAGGCTGGGTAGTGAGATATACAAAGGTGAGGCTGGTGTATGAGAGATACAAAGGTGAGGCTGGTGTATGAGAGATACAAAGGTGAGGCTTGGTAGTGTGATATACAAAGGTGAGGCTGGTGTATGAGAGATAGAAAGGTGAGGCTGGGTAGTGAGAGATACAAATGTGAGGCTGGTGTATGAGAGATACAAAGGTGAGGCTGGTGTATAGGGAGATACAAAGGTGAGGCTGGGTAGTGAGAGATACAAAGGTGAGGCAGGTGTATGAGAGATACAAAGGTGAGGCTGGTGTATGAGAGATACGAATGTGAGGCTGGTGTATGAGAGATACAAAGGTGAGGCTGGGTAGTGAGAGATACAGATGTGAGGCTGATGTATGAGAGATACAAAGGTGAGGCTGGTGTATGAGAGATACAGAGGTGAGGCTGATGTATGAGAGATACAAAGGTGAGGCTGGTGTATGAGAGAAACAGAGGTGAGATTGGTGTAGTGAGAGATACAAAGGTGAGGCTGGTGTATGAGAGAAACAAAGGTGAGGCAGGTGTATGAGAGATACAGAGATGAGACTGGGTAGTGAGAGATACAGAGGTGAGGCTGGTGTATGAGAGATACAAAGGTGAGGCTGGTGTATGAGAGATACGAAGGTGAGGCTGGTGTATGAGAGATACAAAGGTGAAGCTGGTGTATGAGAGATACAAAGGTTAGGCTGGGTAGTGAGAGATACAGAGGTAAGGCTGGGGTGTATAAGAGATACAAAGGTGAGGCTGGGTAGTGTGATATACAAAGGTGAGGCTGGTGTATGAGAGATACAAATGTGAGGATGGGTGAGTGAGAGATATACAAAAGGTGAGGCTGGTGTATGAGATAGAGAGTAGAAAGTCGAGGTGAGGCTGGTGTATTAGAGATACAAAGGTGAAGCTGGTGTATAGAGAGATACAAAAGGTGAGGCTGGGTGAGTGAGAGATACAGAAGGTGAGGCTGGGTGTATGAGATATAAAAGGTGAGGCTGGGTAGTGATGAGATACACAAATTGAGGCTGGTGTATAGAGAGATACAAAGGTCAGGCTGGGTGAGTGAGAGATACAAGGGTGAGGCTGGTGTATAGAGAGATACAAAGGTAAGGCTGGTGTATAGAGAGAGAATGCTGGAGTATAGAAGATGAGGGGTGGTGTGTATGAGGAGAAACAGAGGTGAGGCTGGGTATGTAGGGAGATACAAAGGTGAAGCTGGGTGGGAGGCAGAGGTGAGGCTGAAAGAGAGATACAAAGGTGAGGCTGGTGTATGAGAGATACAAAGGTGAGGAATGCTGGTGTATGAGGAGATACAAAGGTGAGGCTGGGTGAGTGAGAGATACAGATGTGAGGGCTGATGTATGAGGAGATACAAAGGTGAGGCTGGTGTATGAGAGAGATACAGAGGTGAGGCTGATGTATGAGAGATACAAAAGGTGAGGCTGGTGTATACAAGGTGAGGCTGGAGTATGATACAGAGGTGAGGGCTGATGTATGAGAGATACAAAGGTGAGGTGAGGAGCTGGTGTATGAGGAAAGAAACAGAGGTGAGGTTGGTGTAGTGAGAGATACAAAGGTGAGGCTGGTGTATGAGAGAAACAAAGGTGAGGCTGGTGTATGAGAGATACAGAGATGAGACTGGGTAGTGAGAGATACAGAGGTGAGGCTGGTGTATGAGAGATACAAAGGTGAGGCTGGTGTATGAGAGATACAAAGGTGAGGCTGGTGTATGAGAGATACAAAGGTGAGGCTGGGTAGTGAGAGATACAGAGGTGAGGCTGGTGTATGAGAGATACAAAGGTGAGGCTGGTGTATGAGAGATACAAAGGTGAGGCTGGGTAGTGAAAGATACAGAGGTGAGGCTGGTGTATGAGAGATACATAGGTGAGGCTGGTGTATGAGAGATACAAAGGTGACGCTGGGTAGTGAAAGATACAAAGGTGAGGCTGGTGTATGAGAGATACATAGGTAAGGCTGGTGTATGAGAGATACAAAGGTGAGGCTGGGTAGTGAGAAATACAAAGGTGAGGCTTGGTAGTGAGAGATACAAAGGTGAGGCTGGTGTATGAGAGATACGAAGGTGAGGCTGGTGTATGAGAGATACAAAGGTTAGGCTGGGTAGTGAGAGATACAGAGGTGAGGCTGGTGTATGAGAGATACAAAGTTGAGGCTGGTGTATGAGAGATACAGAGGTGAGGCTGGTGTATGAGAGATACAAAGGTGAGGCTGGTGTATGAGAGATACAAAGGTGAGGCTGGTGTATAAGAGATACATAGGCGAGGCTGGTGTATGAGAGATACAAAGGTGAGGCTGGTGTATGAGATATACAAAGGTGAGGCTGGTGTATGAGAGATACAAAGGTGAGGCTGGTGTATGAGAGATACAGAGGTGAGACTGGTGTATGAGAGATACAGATGTGATGCTGGTGTATGAGAGATTCAAAGTTGAGGCTGGTGTATGAGAGATACAGAGATGAGACTGGTGTATAAGAGATACAAAGGTGAGGCTGGTGTGTCTGAGTTACAAAGTTGAGGTGTCACCTCATTTCTTTATGCTTGTATCTTAGAAGAAAATGCATAAATGAACATAAAGACGTCAGTTCACTGGTAGTCGACCTAACGGTAGCAATTAAGATGAATAAATCTTAATTAGTCAACAAGAGACAAAAAGTTATGTAAGTCATGGATCTGTTGTGGCCATTTGCCACAATGGATTGGTGCACACAAGACACACAGCAGAACTATACTGGTAGATTTAATTGAGTGGAGGAGGTGGAGAGGGATTAGGTTAGCAATGGGGGAGGATGGCTGGGCTGGGGGAGCGACTCAACGATGCAGGTGAGGAAAGCAGGTGAGAACTACACCGGATGTGCGGAAGTGACTCTCGCCTGGAGACAGCGGAATCGATACTTCTCTACAGCCCAGTCATTATCTTGCTTTGATT